GACGCTCAACCATCTGAGCCACCCAGGCGCCCCTTTTTCCCATTTTAGAGAGAGGAAAACTAAGACATTCTCTTAGCAAATTCCCTAGCCAAGCGAAGTCAAATGTCCCGATTCTTATTTCAGAGCTAGGGTGCACTTGTCAACAGGAGCTCCATCTACTTCACGTTGCTCATGTTCCAAATTCAGGGATCACACTTCTTAGACCTCAACATGCCGCCTGGCTCCTCCCCCTCTTTCCAGGTTCTCCTGACATTACCTATTTTTGTTCTTCATGTGACTGCTATGCCACACCTATAGGACTCATCCATGTAAACCCCGGGAGAGAATGTGACCATTGCCGTCTGGTTTCTCTCTTCTTCTAGGAGTACCTGTCCATCGAGGATTTCACCAAGGCCTTGGGGATGACACCCACTGCCTTCTCTGCCCTCCCGCGATGGAAGCAACAACAACTCAAGAAAGAAAAAGGCCTGTTTTGAGAAGGAGTGGTTGTGGTTGGAGAGCAGTTCCCTACCCTGCTTGCAGTTTCCTTGTTTTCATGACTGGTATATTAGTCCTATACTAATTGAAGTGAAATTTTACCTGTGAGCAACCTATTCTTCCAGAATGGTACCTCCATAAGGAGACTGTGGTCCCAATTTCAGCTCTTAAGAAGGTGGTCACATTGTTTCGACCCTGGGGTGTTAATGTCACTTTTAACCATCTTGTTCTAGAGCTCTCCCTTCTTAGAAGAGCAAACACTCCACAGAACATTCTAATTCTGAGGAGTCATCCCTAGGTTTTCCTCTCCTGTAAGTTGTTTTTAACCATGGAAAGTGGGCTGAAGCCTTTTGCAGTTTCACATCTTTCCCAGAGTAATGGCTTTTCCTTCTCACATACGTTCCTCACTGACTTGGATGAGAAGTTAAAGGGCACTCCTTTGCAAGAGTTGAATGGCCTGGGAAAGGGCCCCGTTAGGAAGTGTCACAACACCAACCCGTCCCCAGTGAGAGGAGCATACCCACTGGGTCTAGAACAGAGGTCATTTCACCCCTATCTGGTAATAATAAGGCAAAGGAAGAGCTTAGCTAAGGGCAATGCTGAGTTTACAAAGTGTTATCCAGAACCTCTGCTAAGCTTCCCGGGCTCCTCTAGTGAAAACGAGAACTCGGTGCTGCCTCCAGCCATTTGTTGGTTTGCCCTTCCATCTCCTTTAAGGTGTAATGGTGCTGCATTGAAGTCCAAGTCAGAAGGGAACAGAAAGTGATTTCACAACCTCAACAAATGGTTGTTAAGTGTCTGTAAGGATAAGTCCTTTCCAGAAATGACAGTCAAACCAATGCAAGGTTAATAAAGGCTTTAATTTCACACACACAAAAAACTCTATGCATAATTTAAAAAGGAAACAAAAACAAGGAAAAACCGTAAAGGATACAGAGGAACAGTTCTGCTAAAACACAGATAAAGTGCCGCTCCATACGAAACAACATAAAGAATCAGAATCAAGTCACTCTGAACACAAAGAAAGAAAATCACCTCACAAATAATGTGGCCAAAGCTGCCAGCAAATCTGGTAGTGGCTCAATCAGGCCAAGTGTAGGACCCTTTCTTCCGTTTTCCTCTCCATAGTGTAAGTCAACCACACTGACAACAGGCCAGAGGAATTGGGATGCAAGCACAAGCTCAGAGAGGGAGGGAAACCTGGGGAGAGGTGTGTGGTCTCACTGCCCGCATCCCCTCTGTTCTGGAAACAGGCCAGGTCAGTTGACTGCTCTTGTTTTGGCATGTGACCTGCCGAACTTGGGTCTTGATCCAGAACCTCATCCCCTCTATGGTTTCACCAGCCAACATGCCTATGCTTTGAACCTCTTAATGTACTTTAAGAAAAGTCCAATGTTACTAAAATCAACTGCTTATACTTATACTGGCACACTTTTTATTAAAAACTTCAAAACCTCAGACATATAGCACACATGGAAAGAAAAATTTACTGTGTATAAATATGATACAACGGAAAAGACTGCCTGAAGTCTAGTAATCAAAGCATGCCATAAAGAAGTCAGTGACTGTGGTGACACACAGCAAAAGAACGGTCACAAAACTCTCAAGGCCTACCGAACTGTAGTTTTCCAATAAAATATATATGTTTTTCAGATGTTATTAAGACATACCAATAGAGACAAAATTAGGATTTTGAAGTACTGCATTCAAAAGACATCAGATGGCAGAAGCCCCTTAGTTTTTGTACACACTTAAAGAGAGCATCACTCAGTGGTAAAGCAAGATGGGGAGAAGGCAAAGGACACGCCTGTTTTGGGGGGACACTCATGGGACTTGCGTCTGGTACTGGGTTGTTGATGTGTCTAAAAATCTCCGTATATATATATACAAGATCCAAATGTACTTGGGACATCTAGCTCTGTTTCCCTGATTTAAAACAAAAGACCGCCTATGGGGGCGCAGGGTAGGGGGTGCCAATTAAAGCAAAGAACCAAAAAAAAAAAAAAAAAGTTTGGATGACTAAGTGCATCCACTGCAGTCATTTCAGAGGACAAAGAAAGAAGAGTAATATTTTTATTTGTTTTAGTATAAACTCTTTTCAGATCATGAATGAGTTTACAAACTATTTTTTCTCTGTATGGTTCCAAACATCACCCCCATGCTCTCTCTATACTCATAACACTCAACTATATAGACACTGTCAAAAATCTCTTCAATTTAGATGTTTCCAAATAATTTTCATTATACAAGTCTATCCGTAGCTGTATACATGTAGAACCTTGTTTCTATAGTTACATAATGGTAACTGCAGTATGGAAGAGTAAGTCAAGTCATGAATTCACTTGCTGAGGTTTTAATTCTTAAAGTTTCTCTTTTGGAAGAATTCTACACTTGAACAAGAAGTAAAGAAATGTATAGTCTACTATTTGCTTCCCAGAGTTAGCTGATTTTTAAGTATCTCTGTATACTTTTAAAAATGTAAACACATTTACATTTGTTACATCTGTTACTGAGCCATTAAGTTAGGCCTGAAACTAAGAGACCATGGCAAGTAAACAAACAGCTTTTGGAATCAAAATGTAAATAGAAGAACAATTCATGGCCTTGCTGCTTCTTACTCTATCCTGCTGACACAAAACGCATGAGTGTGCACACACTATAAATACATTCCCCGCAAAACAGAGTCTATCTCATAGGCCTAAATTAGAGTCATGGCTACTAAAGGGGCAGCAGCTATCTGGCTACATGCAACTTCCAATTCTCCATAATACTAGGTGGTAAGAATCAGAAAGTTTGAATTTTAGTTTTCCCTTCCAAAAAATTTCAATTAAGATCAGCTGTCTGCAGAACGAAGTGCTGTCAAGTACCAATTCAATGTCATTTAAAGTAAAGGAACCACATTTGGTATTTTCAGTAGAAAGGTGACTGTGTAGGCTGCCTGGGACTGAAGCACTCTGTCCCCATCTGACTTGTCCCTTCCTGGCCCCAACACACCAAATGCCTCACCCCCCCCCCCACAATTCTGAGCAAACTGATATTTTGCAAAAAAAAAAAAAATATATATATATATATATATTATCTACTTATAATTTTTAAATATATACAACCAGCTCAAAAAAACCCAATAAACCCCTTCAAAGCTAAAATTTCCATCTGTAGTCATGAACCCAAATGAGAAGTGTAGTGAAAGGGGGGATAAAGGAGCACAGGGAGGGAGGAAGGCTGACAAGGCCACAAAAATGCACAGCTACCAAGGAAAATTCAAGTCCCAAAGTTGCAAGCGTATCAGCAGTAAGATAATTCATCTACCTCAGTAACCTATTTTCAATTAGCAAGTCCAGCCCAAGAAAGGAAGATCAAATCAAAACAGGTTTCTAAGCCACGTGTACTTCTAAACCACACACCCACACACAAACACACCGGCTACAAAAAGCAAGTCAAATGAGGGCAATGGGCAATCAGGCCTATGGCATCATTTCTATTTTTTTTAATGCCCTAATGCATCCCTCACTTCAATACATTTCCAGTCATTTTAAACAGCACCTCTCGAAGCTCTCAAATGCAAACATGCGGAAGAGAAGTCCTAACTAGCTATAGAATTTGATCACTTCACTCGTTTTGGAAAAAAACAGTTATTTTCCAGCAAAAGCTACAGTTTTAAAACAGTTATTTTCCTCTGCTCTATACGATTCACGCACAACCGACCGGCGCACCATTTTGGAAGGTTCACTGTGGTAGTGCATGGGTAGATGGTAGGAAGCAGAGCTTTTCATCTGGAGTTAACCAACGCACTGGGGCCATTTACAATTTAAAAACTGAGAATTTTAGAACAAGTTACCGTGTCAGAACATGTCCAAGTGTGGGGCCTGGTGCTCTCTTAAGGCAATCTTCTAGAGAAGATGTTGCACCTTCTGTGATGATGGACTTTAACATGTTTCCTCCCCTTGAAAAACTGATGTGGTTTTGTCCCTACCTCAGAACTGAAACAAGAATTCCCTCCTTCCTGATAATAAAAGGAAGTAAAACATGAAAGAAAATATTGAAAAAGTTTCATTTTGCTACACTTAACTGTGTGAACCTAATGATTCCTGGGCTTACAAAGTTATTTTGTGGATAGAATTCTCCTCTCGAACTCATTCTTTATATGGTTTCACAAGCTGCTTAATATCCAAGCTGGTTATGCCAGCTGAGTGACTAATGTGGCACTTAATGTTGCATTCCCACTTAGCCTCAACTCAAAGCACCTAAAAAGATAAAATATATTATGCACCTTTGTTATTTGTTAGTTCTTGGGATTACCTAAACCAATCTCAGAATATTCTAATTCTCACCCTGTTTTAAGGGCAAAGACAGAGAACAAATGATTAAATGCTCAAGCTTCATCCTAAGCTCATGTACTTAATTTCCCGCTTGCAGTAGGGCTTCTAGTGGTCCAGAGTTTTTAGCTTTAACGCGAGAATCCTCACCCTGACCTCTCCATGTATGAGAGACAGATGCTAGCACTCTTCCGTATCCCCAAGTGTCCTTGCTGGGGAATCCCAATTGGGATATTATTTTCTTACCTCTTAAAATTTTGGTTGCAATCTATTAGGGTAATGCTTGCTCCATGGAAGAATGATACAGAAGAAAAAGAAAAGATTCTGTCTTCACTACAATAATACAGATGAATATACTGTGTGAAGGGATCTCTTTTAAAGAAAATACAAAGTGTTCAATGAATACCAAATGGGGGACCATAACCCATTCCAAAGCACCAACAATCCATTTCTTGGGACTGCATGTAAACAGCAAAAGCATTACAAATCCATGAAGTAATTAAAAAAAAAAAAAGCTTCTCACGTCAGGTGGCAGAAATGCCTCTCCCTTGCAAGGAGGACAAACTGTCATTAGTGTAACATGGAGAGCTGGCTTTCCAGTGAACTTTACTAATAAGAAACACATGTGAAAGATTATAGACTTGAGTGAAACTACTCAAGGAACAGAAAAACTAAATGCCAACCGATATGTACATCTTTACACATCTCTCAGGTGAATGGACTCTTTGACACCTTCATTTCTTCTCCAAACTGCTGTGCTATTAATTTTGAACAGGAATACTATGGTGGCTCATCCTAACTCTTTAAGGCTCCATTCATTCCACATACATGTGTGTGCGTGTGTGTATGTACATATATATATTATTTACAACATGTATTCCTAAGAAAAAAGGAAGTGCCACTCTTGTAGGAGAAAAAGAGGATAATCAGCTACAGATGTGAGACCAAAGTTTCCATAAAACAATTAGCATGGAGCGTTCCACATAATTGCAATTTTCGTCTTTTGGTTTGGCCCTGAGCTGTTTGTTGCTCCCGCATCAAGTAGAATTCCAAATTCTCCTTGGGCAGAGGAAAGGTGAGGTGGGCAGCAGTAAGAGGGAATAAGCAGTGCACACTGCCAACCCAGGAGTTTGTTCCTCACAAGGCCTGACGAGTGGTCTTCCCCACTTCCATGCTAAGTGCCTGAGAATTCTTTTCCGTTTCCAGCAGCTCATCAAAGATCTCCCTTAAAATAAAACAACAAGAAATGAAACAGGAAATTCAGTGAGCAAAGCCAAAGGACAGGTAGAAGATACTGATAAAGCCTGCACAATCCCATTTAGTGCCTAATTTTATTAAACAAGCAGCGCATTCATTTAATCACTATCTTAACCCCAAGTGCAGATTTCTGAGAATGCTGGGGGACAATGGCACTGGCTACCCCTGATAACAATGCCATGTAGTTCCCATCCATCCATGTAAATAACTCAGATCTTCTAGCTGATACACCTGGAAGACCAAAAAGGTTTAGGATAGGACAGCTTTGTCATATAACAGTCTTAAGTTCCACACCTCGACACTACCATGAGGTAAGTCATTAACATGAGTTATCAAGATATAAGCCCTAAGCAAAGGTAATAAAAATAAGAAACTGTCAACCAATAAGTGATGGGGACAATTTGTCCTTACAGGAAAAAAAAAAAAAAAAAGAGTTTGGGAGATGTTTAGCCCACAGCTCCAGACCTGGCAGTTTCTTACTTGTGCATATAAAAGAAGATATAACCACTCCGGTCCCGATCACTCTGCACAGAAGCCTCCTGGATTTTAGATACCTCGAGATCATTGTAAGTAAACCATGCCTGCTTCTTAATGTCGTACACATCACTAATGTAATGACCTAAAATAAATAAAATCTTAAAATCGTAGCTTTTAAAACAGCGCATTTTTCTCAGGTTACAGGAAGTTTTGGAGAGAGAGAAACAGACACCCCATCCACCCTATCCCCAACAATGTTTCTAAAAACCATTCAGAAAACATGTACAGGAATCTAAGGGAGAAATATACTACACCAGGACAACTTTTTGGATAAATATATATATATATATTTTTTTACATACACATATATAGGGGAATTTGGGTCATCTATAAATAAATAAGTTGCACCTTTAACACAATTCACATTTAATGTGATCAAAGGAAAGATTTAAAACTTTTTCTTAATGGGCATTCAACCTATAGCTCATGAAGCTAGGCACAGAGCAAACTAATAGGGAGTAAATGCTGGCTACTTCATTTGTAAAATGCTGAAATCATAATGTCCATTTACCTGAAGAAGAGGTGCTACCAATGTGACTGACAACACTAATGAGTCGATAAGAATGAGGAAGATTTCCTGTCTGGAAAACAGAAGTGGGCATGACTTTTAACTCTTCATTTGAATAAAAGCAAAACACTAAATTTAAATTTATTATCAAAGCTAATATGGCTGAGTTTCAGTGTGTGTGTAGTCAAACTCAATAAAAAAAAAAATCCAGTGGTTGTATTGTTCATACCTTTTGACCCAAGAATTCTACTCCCAACTAAGAATTTATCCTAGGAAAATCATTCAAAAGAAGAAAAGAGTACATGCATAAAATTATTCACTGTAGCATTATCTATAATAATGGAAAGTTGGAACAACAGGCCCAATAATAGTTGAATGATTAGTGGTATACCAACTCAATGCAATATTATTCAATGGGTCAGCAACACGTAAACTTGTTTTTCAAATCCACATGAATGCACACAATAATTACAGCTCTATAAAAACAGGTATGTTAATGATTAAGTACTGGAAAACAAAATGAACAAAATGAAAACAGCTGCGGTGGTACTGTAGGGATTATGGATAAACTTTTATGTTTTAAATATTTTTTAAAATGCTATTAAAATACTGTTAGTAGAAAAATTGTAAAAACCTGGAAAGTGACATTCATGCACTGCAGGCAGCACTATAAGATACAAATTTTGGGAAGGAATATAGGTATATGTAAACCAGAAACCATTAAAATGTTTCTCAACTTGGAAGCAGTAATTTACTTCTGGGAATTTACTGAAAGAAGAAAATCCTAAACACAGAAAATATTACAATCATCCACTCTTCCTCAATGTATTTTTTAAACATGTATATTTTTTTAAAGTAATCTCTACACCTAATGTGGGGCTCGAACCTACAACCCTGAGATCAAAAGTTGCACACTCTACCAACTGAGCCAGCCAAGTGCCTCCCAATGTATTCATTATTACAGTGGAACAATAGAAACATAAATACTCATGGTTAAAAATTAAGTGAAATAAATAGTATGTTGATTTGAGGCAATATACATACAACCATTAAAAATAAAATGCTTATAAATAATCTTTAACAAGTAAGCAGAATAAAAACTACTTCCGACGTTTTAAAAGCACACTTGGAGGTAGGGCTGACAAAATATGTAAAAATGCTAACAGCAGTTGTATTAGGACAGTGGAGTTCTAAGTAATTAAAATTACAAAAAAATTGGAAAATGGAAAGAAAAGCAATTAAGAAGGGCAAAAAAAGGTTACAATGTGTTCTAGTTTAATGTCATTGATCCAGTAGTTTTTACTGAGTAACAACCAACTAGTTTTGTTATTTCACTTAAAGACAATATAGTTTTGGCAGAATTACAGGTGAATTAATATATGACATTGAGAGTCATGTTACTCAGTTACTACCTAACATGCATAAGAGGGAGTCAGGATATCTTTCTAGTTTTGTTTCATTTGATTTTGAATCTTGTATATAAGAAATGAGGAGCAGGGTGCCTGGGTGGCTCAGTTGGTTAGGTGTCCAATTCTTGGTTTTGGCTCAGGTCATGATCTCAGGGTCCTGGGATCAAGCCCTGCGTCAGGCTCTGTATACAGCAAGGAATCTGCTTGGGATTCTCTCTCCCTCTCCCCCTCCCCTCACTCACAGGCTCTTTCTCTCTCTAAAATAAATTTTTTTTTTTTTAAAGGTTTTATTTATTTATTTGAGAGAAACACAGCTAGAGAGGGAACACAAGCAGGGGGAGTGGGAGAGGGAGAAGCAGGCTCCCCATGGAGCAGGGAGCCCGATGTGGGGCTCGATCCCAGGACCCTGGGATCATGACCTGAGCCGAAGGCAGACACTTAACGACTGAGCCACCCAGGC